TCTCAATGCGAACCAGTCTCCAACTCAACATCGGTATCATCGCAGCCTGCGCCTCCTACCTCAAACCCCTCTTCGGTCGCCTCTTAAAACTAAACAGCTCAGTCGATTACTACCCCAGCAACGAGCGCTATGGCAGAAGTGGTCAGACCCCCCTCGGCGTCGGTGCCTCTCGTAACACCCCCTACGCGAGCGGCAACAGGAGGACCACCAGAATCCCGCTGGATCGCAGTTTACATGACGAGTTCGAGATGCATACCAAGGACGAATTCAGTGTAACTGAAAGATATATTTCTGGCACAGGTACCAGAGTTGACGTGGTGCGCTCGCCGATCGCTATGGAAGGCCGATGTTCCGCTGAAGCTGTGTATGCTGGTGCTTTGCCTTCCGATACGAACAGCGAGGAGATTATATTAAAGAAAGAGCAGGGAAGAGGGATTGTCTGCACGAGGGACTTTAGTGTCAAGTACAGCGAGAATGATAGGTTTGGGCCAATAGGTTCATCGAAGGCATAACAGACATGGCAGGGCACATCTTGTTTTAGAGATTGGCGTAGGAATTAAATATAGTGTTCAACAACATTGAACAGTGTTATGGACAGAAGAGATATTTCCCGATGTCTCCAGTTGATGATTTCTCATTGAGGTCTAGGGACGCATACTTCTTCAATAGCTCCTCTTCATTCCGTTTGGTTGTCATCATAGTCAAGAGAGGTGTGTTTTCTCTAGCGAGACTCATCCGCCCTGGAACTACTTTATTCATAAGGTACCTTTTCATCTCCCAACTGCCTGACTGGGCGTTGAGACTCCTGCCGGGAGCAAGTAAGTCCCTGGGAATTCAACGGCACGCAAGCTGCAAACTCTTATTGTGCATGCCATGGTCGTGTGCCTCAGATAGACTAGCGAAGGCGGCACTGAGATATTCACGATGCAGCTGTATACCGATTCCGACGCCTGGTCATGGATCCTCGTAGCAATGGGCATGTCAGACCTGAAAGCCGGCGGGAAACCTCGGCACTTGCCAGCCATCTCCTGGATCGGGTACAGGAAATGCAATGGCCAGCTGGAATACGTCGATCTCGGACCCGGCACCGAACCAGCACCAAGACGTCAGGTTCTGATAAGCTGAGATCTGCTAGCCCCAGACATATGCCCACCGGGATGCGTTATCGGGTCATACGTGGAACCAGTGGAAGAAGTGTCAGAGCGGATTCCGTCGGCGACGAGCCAACGGTAACGTTGCTGCATGTCAGCGGTTGGAGAAATTGAGAAAAAGGCACGCGCCGGACTCGTGCGCCAACACGTCGGATGACGCACATGTATTATGCACGGCGCCGTGAACGGTCCCTTGCGATGCCAACTCTCTCGACTCGCTGCACATCGGTCCGAGTAAAAATGGCCAGAACACATGAGCAGCTATAGATAGCTTGCCAATAGGCAACGACTAGTAGCTAGCCAATGTTCAGAAGTGTGGCCGCGGCGATATCATTTTCCCGAGGGAGCAGGTCTTTTTCTCGCAGTTTCTGCAATCTGATGTCTTCAGTTAGATAGTTCCCACCCACTAGTGAAACGCAAAATTGAATAAGCAAGGTGATCTTGCCAATCGTCGGTTAATTCGTAAATCATAAGGTTATCGATTCCAAGGGAAGACCCTGATCTTCGGCCCGCGATCGAGGAGAATCAAAGTCTCAAAGATGGCCGTCAAGCCGTTGTTCCCCTCCCCCGCAGAAGGTACTCCGGTATCTTCCTTAAGTAAGCCAGCATAAAAGCCGTATGATTGGCCATATGGCAGGTTCGTTCCCAAACTGGCAGCCAGCAGACGGGCCCACGCCGGTCTGAGCGCCCGGGTCCGTTCGTCACTTGTCTCGGTGGGAAAGTGGGGTTTCTTTGCGTCGTCTCGATCCGGGAAGGAGGCACTGAGGACTGTCATTGATTGAGTGGCAGGTTGGGTATTGCCTTGTGACAAGACCGATCTTAGCTCCTGCTTATGTACCGGCTGCACGTCATTCGCCACTTTCCTCCGAACCACTCAGCCGACGGGTTCTTCGTTCTTTCCCAATCGTTGTTGGGCAGGCACCGGGTAAGAGATACAGAAAGGCAGGAGGCGGGGTGACGGAGGACCTTCCTTCTACCGCCGGCGTCAAAGCTAGCATCGCTGGCTGGAACTTGGGGCTGCTGACTAGCGACTTTTATGCTTGGGTGAAGAACATGTGGTCTGTTTGACTGGCCCAAGCCGTGAGGAAGGAGCCAGACGGGAGGTGCTCTCGCTCTTGCCTCCCATCTCGCCCGGTTGTTTCCTTTCCATCAGTGATGCTCCGGGTCGCCATTAGATAATCAGCACCATTACTTAAACCACCAAACTACTTGCCACCGACGACCTTTGACTTCTCCCATCTCCATCACCACTTCACTGCACAATCAAACAATCAACGGCTTCGGTCCACATTCAAGGCAAACAAAACCACTCTCAAGTCACTTCAAACGACTCCATCAACTATCAACATGTCTGGCTGCGGATGCGCTTCCACTGGCTCCTGCCACTGCGGCAAGGACTGCACCTGCGCCGGCTGCCCCGTAAGTTCCCCTCCCAGACACTGATCGCACCATCAGCCACCGACCCAGCCACCGAGATGATGTTGCTGATACCTTTGTTACAGAACAAATAAGCATGTTCAAAGCTTCAACTGATTGCCATGCGACACGGGCGGATCTACGGGTTGTTTGGACGGATTGACCACATTGGTTTCGAATGGTTGCATGCAAACAGATGCGATGGAACTTCTTCCCTCACACCCTCACTTCAGCCCTGTTGTCGATAGTCATTAGGCAGAGATTCGCAATGTAAAGTTGGTATCGAAAGTCCTTGCCGTGCCGCGTGCTTTCCTTGTGCGGTGAGAATCCTTGTCGCAGAGTTGTGTCACCTCGATCCCGTCTGTGCCAACCTGTCGTTAGTTGTACGACGCCAGAACCATATCACACCCAGTCATCCTGCTGCGCATCATCCTTGTACAACGCGATCTCGCACTTTTCGGTCCACGGATGGCACTCCGATAAGGATAACACCTTGCAGCCAGTGCTTATTCCATCTCTCATTCCCTTCTCATACATCGACCAGCCCAACATTCCGACGACCCTCGCGATGTAAAAGAACGCAGCAAAGACAGGCCAGGCATATCCCCACTTCGCAATCCTACACCACCCCCGATTCTCTGGCCACGCTTCGTGACAGCTTCGGGTGAGATACCACGGCCTCTCGCTGAGGTGATGAGTATCGCTTAGATCGGGCCCGTTCTGTGCGGCGGCACTGCAGGCCCACAGAACGCCGAGGAAGGCGTCGTATGCGAGGTTCGTCCATCGGGCTTCGTATTGTAGGGCCGCCATCGCTAGGCGGGCGAAGAAAATCGTCGCTCCGAGGACCGCGGTGGCTATGTTGGAGGTTGTCAACCTGGATGAGGCGATGTATTAGTGCCGAGGCCTCAGCAGAATGATGGAAGCGCGTGGGACATCACCTCTGGCTCCATATCAAGGGTATCTCGGGCGGCTCTTCGTGGTTGGCATAAAAGTATATCCTCAGTCTCGGGTTTGAACACCATCCTTCCTCACCGCCGTTCCTCCAGAGTCGCGAGCGGAAGCGATCTGGGTACGCCACGCCGAATAGCACGAGAGCGGCGAAGACGACGACAGCTTCGATACACAACAGGACCGCGATCAGGTCTGGACGATGGATCGATCCTCTCAGTCTCTGGCTCATGATTAACGAACTCTCAATGATCAAGGTATTGTGAATAAGAACGTATCGGCTCTTCAGAGAGCAGAACCGAATGCGCAGACGCAGATACGAACGCCATGATGTCTAGAAGCGGCATCGCAGCGACAGCCCAGGCTCTCTTATTCGATAAAGGAAGCTCGTTTCGCTGGTGACGACGACAATGACAAGGGAACTGAATGCCTCAAACTTGCTCGATATTGGGGCGGGGAGGTGATTCGTCTTTTACATTCCGAGGACGGCGAGTTCGATGCTGGGGTGACTTGACTTTTAGGCGTGGGGAGACTGACTGGTGAGGCGGTGAGGGGTTCGGGAAACTTGCTCATTCTTGCGCAGTTAGGCGGCTACCACATGTCGCATGACAGACCACCGATCTCTTATTGTCTGCCAAGAGGCTCTGTATATGGAATCTCCAAGTAGGCCTGCTTATTTTCCTGCTTCTGCAAGTCACTTTGGCAAGGTTTACGAACGGGTGGATGCATGCCCACAGTCGTACGGTCCGGCCCGCATCACATCATTTCGGGCACCTCAGGAGCCATCGATTCCGCACCGGGCTCGAGAACTCTGCATTCCAGACTTCGAGCCTTCTGTATATTGGTAAAGCGTGTATTTGAAACTTTAAGACGATCGATGGGTGATTCTCCATCGTCAACCGACGAGAAGCTGTTCGGCCTTGACTCGACTTCAAGCTTGGCCCCCGGTTGAAGGAGGGGATTGTTTGCTGTCATGTACTTCATCCCATTGACAGCTCTACTTCTCGAGCACTGTCAAGAGCTATGTACAACTAGAATCCTCAGTGACCAAAGACTCGTTGTAAGCAGGTGGCAGCTGATAGTCGCTATCTCCTAACGTAGTGTCCAGTCTCCAGCTGGGCTTTAAATCAAGGATGACCGTTCTTCTTCGGTGTGCTTGCAGCTGCTGACCGCCATGATAGCGTTTGCTTTACTTCTTTCGTTCGGTGTTTTCTTCTGAGTCTGAAGCAAGAGTATGACGTTAGCTACCCGTAGCTCCAAAAATGCGATCCATTGAGGAAAGGAGGACATACCAGACCATGCTCTGCACCACACCGAAGTGAGCAAGCACCCAAGGCAATAGTCCAAGCTTTTACAACCACCTCACTGGTACCAACAAGCAGTGACAATCCCAAACTTCTCTCTCTGGCTCCTCAAAAGCTCATCCCTCTCGCGCCTGATAGCAGCAGCATCTTCCTCCTCAAGGAACCCCATCGCTACGCCCAACTAAGACGCAACAACCGGTCTCGGCATCCCCATGCCACCAAAAGATAACGCGCTAGGAACCTCGGCGTAGGCGAACGAGAGCAGCTCCGCCGTGAAGCGCGAGATGTCGAATTGGTGAAAGGTGTGATCGCGCGCGCCTTTGATCTTGAGGAGGTGGCAGCGGGTGCGGTAGTACGCCATCGTGGCCAGACGTAGCTTCGCTCGGCGACGCGGGCCGACTCGGCGGTCATCCAGTCGAGGTAGCGCGTTAGGTGTAGGATGAATGCGGGCGGCACTGTTAGGACGCGGATGAGGCCTACGAGCTGGGCGTGGGAGCGAACGCGGGTGATTGTAAGCCGGTCGCGGGTGTAGATCGTGGGACAGGTTTCGAGGGGGCGGAGGCGGTAAAGGATACCGTTTCCATCGTCATCGGCGCTTCTACTGGCGTATTGGTTCACATTCGTGGTGATGAGCTCATCGGTGGCCGGGTCGGAAGCGTGCCAGTAGAGGTCCCAGTGAAATTCTTCGGTAGAGAGGCCCTGGGAGACCATGAGCTCGTAAGTACAGAAGGGGAAGTTCGGACCGTCCGGGAGATTGGTCGCGTAGATGTGCTTCTTCTTGGCAAAGTAGATGGAGAATGGGATCGAGATCATGATGTAGAGGGATCCGACTTCGAGTTTGTCCATGATGATCGGCGGATGGGTGGAGGGCGAGAAGGGTGCTGCCGGAGACTCCATTTCGGTGAAGCCGAAATCTATCAACTAAGACGAAAAATTCTGAAGTGAGGGTGACATCGAAGTCGGAGAAGTGAATTGAGGATCAGGATGAAGATGGAGGATAAGGATGAAAGTGGATGATGGAATGAAATGAGGTGAGGTGAGGTGGAGTTTGACAAGATGATATCGAGGTTACTTAAGAAACGGAACGATAGAAGAGAACCGTCGCAAATTCTGAAATGTTCTTTCTTGGACGATGTGTAACACGCAGCTGTCAGCCCGTCCGGACCAACCACCGGCAAAAACATGAATCACCAGCGATCACTCCCGAGCTTCTACGGTACCTGCCTCTCCAATCGCGCCTTGAAGGCCGGCAAAGCCCCCCAAGTTTCAACCTAGGAGCATTTTGCTGGTTTCCCGGATTCAACACTGTAGTAGATATTTGACCAACGCGCCCAGTCCTTCAGCTCGATGTGACCGCAGCCCACTCTTTGAAATATGAATCAACCATCCAGCAAATTACCCGTTTTCTCAACAAAAATACCCTGAACAAAGTCGCATGATTTGAGCGTGTTGGGACTTTCCCCACGAACAGGTGCCAATGGACAAAAGGTCACGTAAGCGCCTTCGGTGAAATATCGAGAGTCATCCATGAAAGCTATAAACTGCGTGGCGCAATGAATAATTCTATAATGTCGTGTCGGAGCGAAGGTGTAGACCAAAGCGCCGCTGCCATCACGATGTAGCCGCAACTGCCCTTTCATTTCAAAGACCTGAAGCTGGAGCAGGGTGGAAGACATTTGCTGATGACCTTTGACTGTGCTTCGCATTACCCACTTTTCGAATGAAGCTAGGGGTTCCATGTAGTTAGAGTCTGTCCCGAAGTCTTCATGTTCGAATGATATCGGTCCTTCCATAGAGGCCCAGCTCCACGTAGGAAACTTCAATCCACTGGCACATCTCCCACCGGTGGCTGTTTGAGATCTTATTTATTTTCTAATTGCCCTGCCTCTGTTGAAGTTTGGCTTCATTCTGCCAATACTCCAATACGAGCTTCTAATCAAGCTCTACTTAAAGTGGCCCCAAATACAGATGTCGTCCATTGCCTGGCCCAACCGAAAGGCCACAGTGGACAATGCCAGAAGCTTGTCTGATTCTGGGAACGTGAGGTCGCGGCTGGTGTATTCCTCCGCAACTCGGAACCAGACAGCGGTGAGGCCCGTAGGGTCTTTTTGATCTAACGTTGACGGGGCTGACGTCAGTTGCAGACCTTGAAAGAAGTTGTCTTCGAAGGTCAGCCCACCGGGAAACGACTCGTACACATGCTGACACTCGGCACAGCTCCAAAACAACTCTCCGCAACCGAACCCGAGAACACGTGACGACAGCAATCTTTCTCGCAAGGCCCACCCTCGGGAACCCAGTGGTTGGCGATAGAGCGCATCTTCATAGTAGCTGGAAGAGAAAACTACACAGGAATGACGAACGGACTCATTTCGGTCGAGAATACATATTGTTTCAACTTCAGTGGGCGGCATAAAACGTGGCACACCCCCTCGGAATGTACTTTCATCTGGATTCGCAGATCGGTACAGCGCAAGGCACAATATGCTGTCTGAATACACGTCCGCCATCCGCGCGGATTCATGAGTCCAGTCTTCCGTGCTTCCCTGCCCATTCTGAATGATACACAGTGAATCGATCCAGATGTACGGGATATCGAGGCATGGTACAACTTTGATGGCTTCACGGAAAGCTACCGGAAGCTCATCGTCGACGATACCTGTCCGCAGCTTATCTTGGTTCCGAGCAGTAAGACGGAGAAATGAAGGATCCGGACCCCAGCAGTAACTAAGCGCAGCGTACGGTCCAGTGACTAGTGTCGTCTGCGTTTCGACGAGCCGCAATCCTGACTCACCGATCTCTAGTAAGCGGGTGGGATACGATTTTGCTTGGCCTTTGACGCGACATTCTGCGTGCTCTACTAAGCACGTACCCATCCAATACCGCCACCGCTTTCAAAGATTCGGATTCGGGTATGATGCCGTTCCTAACAGCGACGCTAGAGTTGACGTTGATAGATGATTTGGAATAGACACGGAAGTGGCGCGAGAACATACTACCGCTTCGATATGGGATAGTGATAGTGAGCCGAGCAAAGGACTCACAGCCTGTTCGATTGAACGCAGTTCGGTACATCCATGGCCCGTGAAAGCATTGAGTGAGTCATGCAAGTTCAGGATCCAACAAAGTAATTCGCCGCAAATGCGACACCCGCTCGCGGCCGATCTGGAGAGCGAAAGACCATCGTGGTCATGGATCTTATATCCCAAGTCGAAGGCGATCCCGTTGGATGTGAGACTACGGAACATCGGCATGTAGATTTTGCAAAGCATTTTTCCCCAAATGGAATCTGAGTACAAAAAGTTAGACGATGTAGTTGGCGCTGGAGTTAGAAGGTGCTGAGGATCCGGTATCAAAATATCTGGTGTTCAGAAGACTCGAGAAGACAACGTCGTGAAGTAACTAACGAGAAAGGTAAAGACGTCGTTGCATGAAAATGCGCTGACTGTCTTCTGTCAAGTGCATAAACCACTCCTAATACTGAGACCGTGGCTCACCGAAATTTAACACGTTCTTTCTGCTGATTCGTAGATGTGCCATGAGATCCTGACGGACTGCTATTGGATGCCTTACCTGCCTCGTCACTTCCCACGCTGCAGAGCGCCACCAACTTCAACGACATGTACGCTGGAGGTTAGGAGACTCCATCTGGTTTGAAGGCTCTCTACTATTACTCCAATAGTGTCGATCGAGGACGATAGTAGTAGAGATAGCAATACTGCATGCGCCGATAATGATAGAATTTACTTGGATCCACTCGAAAAGTCAAGTAGTTGCCTGAGTTCAGAAGACGATGGATTCCTGGATTAGAAACTAATAATTCTGGCCAGTACAAGGGCTTGGAAGGGCAGATGGTGACGGCACTATGGCAGAAAGCATGCCAGCCTCTTATGCGAGTTGGGAACTGCGCTTCAACGCTGAGAGGCAAAGGCTCATTGTAGTTTCTTTCAAGGTCCCACTAACCTCTTCATCGATTGCCTCGAAATAGTATTCTGCAATTTTAATCAGCACAATTACTCGGAACTTAGAGCTTTACGGACCATGATGGGCCATCAACCCGATTTCTCCGACGAGCTCGGGTCTCGTGGAGACGGTGAGTGTTGAATGCTGTAATTTCTTAAGCTTTTCATTTTCTCAACCCGGTGGGATGCAGATTGCATATCGGATCACAATCTCGTTCTTCTGGCATTATCTCGGAGGTAAGAGAGGTGAAGCAAGAGTATATAAGAGCCGCAAGGTTACACCTCCGACTAATGTAGTATTTAATATTCATACCCAGTACACTGCGACCATTCAACAAATTGCCAAGCGCTCATTCGATCGACTGTAGCTATTGACCCATCTTCAAAATGCTCTCACAATACATCTTTGTCATCGTCGCGTAAGTGCCTCAGTTAAGCCTCCAATCAACAATTGCCAATGTGGATACACACTTACCTTGTTACACACAGCGCATGCGCCGCCGGCTCATTCGCGTCTATCGTGACCTGCAAAGGAAGCTTCTATGCCGGCGTCTGTCAGGACATCTTCGCACCTGGAGCTCATCACGACGCACTCACGCAAAGCTGCTGCCAACCTCCCCATGACACAACTTACCATGATGGCCCCGAAACATTTGTTCGTCCTCCGCTACTTGGTTTGCTTCAACAGAATAATGATAGCTGACATTCAATCTAGTGCTGCACCAATGCCGACTCTTTAGCTATTGCTTACCTGTCGTCGTGCTGTTCCAACGGCGGGAAGAGACAGATCAACTTCAACCCCGTTTAAGGAGAGCTTCCGTTGGCACAGATCCTCTCTAGTGTATCTGAGTAAGACCATGGACGATAGAGCTGAACATGGGGAACAAATACAAGGTCCTGCGAACAATTTATCGGGGTACATATGTTCCAGCGTCTTATTTCGAGATTACTTATGTCAGCTGTGTTGTAAGTCTAAACCTCACCAGTATGATTGACATGGTGTAGAGCACGCTTAACGCCCGTTCCACTGCATTGGTGCACAGGAGCCTGCTGACCTGACTATACCGAAAGTGGCTGAAAACCCTCAAAATTCAGTGCAAAGCTTATTTCATACTTAATATCAAAGCTTCATTGCACGCACATGCATTTGTATCTACACTATTGCCTGGATCGCGAGCCATCCTTGTGGGTCACTGATGGCTCGTTTCATATTATACCCGAATTGGGGTGATATACCCGCTCAGGGCCCCATCGCTTGTCATTGCTGGTCCTTGGCTCCCCACGAGTTCTGTCACATGGCGCTGAGGGACGTTCCGCCTTCCAAATCAAGCACTTGACTCGTTCTACTCCGCCCAGGTGCTAACTCGGGTGAATTGTTGCTCCGACTGTCATATTAGTAGATGTTGACTTGAAATATTCAAGCCTATGAAGTTGCAATCATGTTTATGAATGATGCAATCACACTGCTCATAAGGCTGGCCCTCACTGTTGCTACTTCCGTTCCAATGCGGAGTAGTGGCAGAACTACACCCGTCCTTCACATCCATTATTCAAATCGGATCAGAGGCTCTGCATTCTGCTACAACTTAAAATTACATGAAGGAATCCAGACTAAATAGGAGTCAAAACATTTCCGACCTCATGTTACTTTACGCGCGGGTGGGATGGCCGAGGCCAAGAGTGTCACCTAGACGCTGATCTTTTATCATTCATGACCTGTCAGGCTGTGCAAGGATCAACGCTTCGCTTAGCCACATCGATACTATCTTGGCTTCTGACAAAGCAATTAAAGTGAGAAGCAAACCAGAAAGTTATGTGGGATTTTGTCCTTTCGTAGGCAGGAATAGGAAAGTTGGCAAACTTAAAAAGTAACAACTGAATCGACCGATGTAATCGCGTGAAATGTATCGATGGGCGCGCGGGCAAGTGGACCACCACCCGCCTTCTCGCAATTCTAGTGTTCATCCGGAGTGATGGCAACCCCTGAGCCAAGACAACTCAGGCTTTGTACTGATGCTCTTATAAGACGAACATATTTCCAGTCTTCGAGGTAGCTTTTCTCATCATCGACCGTTCCATTAACTCACTTGACCCAACCATAATCACTCTTTTAAATTTTCCCAAGTTCCAAAACCCCAAACATGAAGTTCTCAATCGTTGCCGTCGTTCTTCCCCTCATCGCGGGCACGAGCGCCGCCCCGTCAGTCGTCGAGCGCCAATCCCCCGCTTGCGTGGCCTACAGCGGCAAATTCCCTCACGAGCTTGTCTGGGGACAATGGTTCCTCTGCTGCAACTACAATGGTCCTGATACCACAGTACGTCAAAATTTAGTCTTGAACAACAATGGCTTTCGCAAGTGGCATTGAATCTTTACTAACGAGACAACAGACCTACCAAAACTGCTGCGACAGACAGGGTGCGGGAACTGGAAGCGGTTTCCCTGGATGTGCTTAGAATTAGAGCTTACGCAGTCAATTCTTGTAAATAAATCTCTCGCAATGTCTGCGGGCTTTCACAACAATCAACTCTAATGGCAGCCGTATTTCGTACCAGATCGTAGCCTGTCAAACGAAAGGGAAAATATCATTCCCCGCAAAACGGAAGACTCAGTACCGTATACTGGTAAATTTCTGTAACGGCAAAATGGTCAAGTTGCTATTTTCAATGATCAGTATCGAGATACCATGATCATCCGTATGATTAAGTATGAGAACAAGGAACAACACAACTACTACAATATAAGTCAACACGCCCTGCATAGCGCCCCGTTGGAAAACTACAATCGCGTGCATTTTCACACTTATACGAGTGAACAACATTCGTTATTATTAATTTACTACACGCAGTTGCCACATAGAAGCTACTACAACTTCACTCGCGAATCGTGGTAGTCGCGGCTCGACAGGTCCTATGTCTCGATCTGCCCAAGCCAGCTCATCCACGGCTGGCAAAGCGCATCATACCAGCGCCAACGTCGAAGACAGTCACAAGGCTGTTCATCATGGTGTCACCCAAGATGTAAGGCCCCTCGCCGCCGTCGGTAACTCCAAGCAAACAGACAAAGGTGCCGTCACCATTGTCAATTGGATCGCTACTCTGGATCAAATCGGCCTTGTCGGCGTAGAAGGTATGCCCGTTAATCACAACACCAAAGTCTGGCACCTTAGCGTCACAAGGAGCATAATACGCGCCAGAAAAGAAGTCGTAGAAGGAGTTGGGGATTCCAGACGCGAAAGCATCGGAGATATCTGGACAAAGGGGTAAGCCGAGCGTTCTATGCTACTGCCTGAGCATTGTTGAAGGGTTTCGACTCTACTTACCAGACGGCACATATATCAAAGTCGTGCCACTGTCGACAATCGTCGGAGTTGTGCTGTTGTAAAATCCGGCAGGCTTAGAGACTGCGGTATTCCACTTGCTTGCAGCCAGGGTCTGATTAGTAGTAGGAGCCATGGTCACGTTCTTGATAACATATCCGTCGGGGAGGATAGTGTAGAAAGAGTACTCGGTTTTCGCCTCCGGCCTGTGGGATAAGAGGGCGACCTAAGTTGATGTTAGCTTCCCGCCGTGAAGAAGACGTCTTTTGCACTGGCACGTTCGAAGCTTTGAACTACTCACCATTCGTATAGGCGTGCTGATGAACTTGCCCTTGGTCTCGACAGGAGGCAACCCACCAAAAGCCAATTGACCGACCTGGGACTTGCTGTCCATGGCCATGCTAAAGAGATCAGGCTTGACAATGCCCTTCTTCGACATGGTGGTGAAGATAGAGTCGTAATAGATAGACTTGCCAGTGGCATCGTCGTACTCGCTGGTGAGCAAGTCATAGGCGAGGCCGAGCAAGCCGCTGGCGACGTTGTCGCCATTCCAGTAAGTCTTATTAACCAAGGCGACCTCTTGATGCGGCACCTCGAGACCAGCCAGGGTAATGTCTTGATAACCCATGAGGCCCGTGGCAAATTCGCCGTCACCGTAGGTGATGTTGAAGTGAACGCCAGGAATGGAGCCATGCTGGAACGTACCGTTGTACGTGGGCCCGAAATTGCACAACGAGGTCTGCTCGTGACGTTTGCAGGTTAGCTTCGCCTAAAGAAAACTTCGCACGTGCTTCGAGTGCTTATTTTGTTACTCACGTCGTTCAACCTGTTGCCGTCAGAGTCTTGGCAGATGAAGTCCTTCTGAACAGCCCATGTGTCACTTGATCCGGAGTCGACGATCACTTGGAGAGTCTCGTCGCCGAAGAGGATGCTGGCGATGTACTCGTAGCCGTTCAAGTCGGTCAAGTTTGTAACGTGACCTGTCTTGTACATGCCATTCGAGCCAGGTCCGTTCCGGATGGATTGAATCCATGTCTGAGCCGGGGAGGTACCGACGACTCTGTTCAGTTCGAGAACATGAGGGGACACTTCCAAGGGCTCGCTATCGACGCTGCGTTTCTGAAGAGACGACAGGTCGACCTCGGTGATGTCGAATTGGAGGGGTACACGGGATGCAGCCGCGGCCGAGCTAATCAGGCTCGCTGCCGTTGCAATAGCGGCAATGGATTTCATAATGAGCGTAGGGGGTCGGTAAGAATGCAGTACAGTCGGCTATATCTACAGTTCCTGCAAGGGTTGCCACAGGCTAGGTTTGGTCTATAGCTTGTCGACTGGACGCCAACCTTTTATACTCGTCTGCGACGCGCATTCGGCTGCAGAGATTCGTGATCACTGCTCCACCAGATGGATTTATTGATTGTTCCACCACGTGGATCCTTCTTGTGTTGGCCGAACATCCGAATTTCTAATCTTCAATCGTTCATGTCATTGATAAGACGTGGGAGTAAAGGAGAATCTCCTGCCCGAAAAGGAAGGACGGGGTTCTGGAACATGGGTGGTGTCTTGGGTACGATTCAAGCTTTGGCTAAGCTTCGGTGCCGATCTACCGAGTCATAGTGCTACGGTAGTCTGGACGGCCCTCGAGGACGACGATAAACGAAGACGGCAGTTCAATATCAACAATTAGATATGGCTGATCATTTCAAACCTAAATACATCTAGACCAACGATCATTCCTCATCGGACGACAAGTCCAGCTGAAATTGAGTGCTTTTTTGTTGATGAGAAATTGATCGGCAATCTGTCTCAATACTTACGTGCTAGCTTCGGCCAAGGGGACATCGACTCAATGATCCGCTTTTGTCTCCGATGTTACCTTGGGATAGGTGAAAGCCCCATTGTCTGTGAATGTTTCGTGCTGATAGCTTGAGAATTGATTTCGACAATATGGGAAGGGATCCACGCCGAGGAATGTTGGAAACCGGAGGAAGTCAACAAATATCTAGAGCTCAGTTGCTGCTTGTTAGTGTCTTTATGGGATTTCTACGAGTCTGCGTTAGGCATTCTTGGTAGCCTGAAGTCCTGTTTTAAATCCCTGAACTTCAGCTGCAGGGCGATATTGAGTTGTGGTAGGTCAAATGAAGGATCTTGATAGCACCTACCTATGAGATGAGGATTTGATGAAGTTGGCAGCGGACGTATGCTTGAGCTAAATCAACGGAATTTCTCAGGATGAAGAAGCTGATCGTTGTTCCGGAATTCCATCAGCCTTTCTGCTGTGCGAAAGACTCATGCCTCGACTATGCCTTCACCTCTGTTGGACTAGTATATAACTGATCCATATTTGCTCTATCCTCGGGAATATCTGCGGCATCGCCCTGAGCCGCGTCATTGTCTGAGTCAACTTCTGCACCCACGCCTTCTCCGAGCCTATACTTTACAAGAATTTGCTTGAGACCTTTCCGATACTTCGTTATCGTCGTGCTCTGAAAGGCTCCCACAGTCAGAGTCGACACCATTGGGACCAATTCGTTAATATCTCCGTGAACTGCCCTCCTCCGCGATTTCTCGATCCGCGGCCCATCATCTACCACCGTGAACTTGCTTTTCGTGTATTCGGTGGCTACCCTTTCAACTTCCTCGCGACTCATCGCCTTGCCTTCGTTACGATAGGCTCTTTCTAGAACTAGGATGAGGTCGCATGCGCACTTGAGGACCATACGCGCAGCTGAGGGCGCCTCGAGCAACATAGCTCCGGCTGCGAGGGGTATACCACCAACAACGGTGAAGATAGTCAGGCAAACAGCGCCACCACAAACAAGGATTTACTGGCCAACAGCCTGAGCCATGAACGGAGCAAGGTTCTTCCACACAACGCTGGCCAGAATCGTATCCATCTGAGCGATGCCTGTTTCTGGAAGCCCGAAGCAACCATGCGCGATGTCGCGGCAGAGAACCCTAGAGATAGTTGGCGTAGACACTGCTGATACAACGCCAGTCCCAAATCCTGATGACGCCGCCCCAACGGCCGCTTTCAGAAACTTCAATGTTTTTTCGATGGCCAGGTCAATTTTGGCATTGATGTCCGGGACCTGGGCGGCAATCATTGCCTCCGACACGCTGGCATCGCTGAAGAAACCCACAGTCTCGTGTATCAGTGACTTAATGGATTCTTGATCGTCTGCGCAAATTGGAAAGTGAGCAAGTATTAGACATAAGACAAATACCGAAAAGAATGAAACGTTGCGCTAGGAGACATACCGCGGGAAACAAATGTGAACTTGGTGTTCAACATAGGCCAGAGTGGGGATGTCTCTACATCATCTTCAAAACTAGTTTTGAAAACTTCCTGCTTGTTGAGAATCAAGTCTTTCTCAATTCCATCCCGGTGCCGATCCAGAAACCTGTCCTTTCTCGTGCCCACGACGATGATCGGAGTCGCAGGCATGTACTTCGTAACTTGTTTCAATACATTCACCAGCGCCGTCTGAACTGGACGGTCGCTGTCCGTGTCGATGCAGAGCCTGGGAGATGAGCGGTTAGAACAGGAATCTGACAGGCTCTTTCAGGGTTTCCCGTACCATATCGCATGGAGCTTTTGGCTCACGTCGGCTTTATCCGCCCGCGTCTTGAGAAACTTCTTGAAAGCAGAAATTTCCCTGGTATCACCCGCTTGAAACCCCTCGGAATCGTGAATGATGATACCTGGGTGCTGATCCGATTCAAAGCCTTCCTCAATATTGTGTCTTCCCTTCTGCGACTTTTCTTCTTGAGTCTGAATATTGATGTGAGTATGATGATTGCATGACTGAACAGGTGCTTCTTACCATTGTAATACCAAATACACGATTCAAAAGCGTGGACTTGCCGACACCCGTGTTACCACATACCAGAATCCGACAGGTCGTGACCTTGTTGGAGAGGAAATCCCTGATCCATGGGTCAATTTTGGCGTCCCCATTGTCTGATATGTACGTCATATTGGACGTCTTTCTGAAATCATCCAAAGGCTTTTTCAGACTCTCAAGAGCTTCCTGAATTCCCAGCGTGGGATAGGTGTCCGAGAGAAAGTAGGCCGAAGGATGTATCACCGTTCCATTGGGTGCTTCATATATCAAGAGCGGTTAGAGAAGGTAAAATCAGTGAAGAAATGGCTTCTTACAGGCGTCTTGATATCCTTGCAGAGAAGTACTGGAGGAATTATGGCGGAATATCTGTCGCGGACCCAGCCCAAAGGTGCCAAGGAGGCCCGTATTGACAGCGACCCAATGTGTGGCACTGTTGCTACGTCTCACATTCGGCCTTTGAAGCTTTTTCGGAGGAATCTTCTGCAGATTGCCGTGCATGTGTGAGTCTCGAAGGTCGTACATGGAGATATCGATATTGCTAGAATACCTAAAGGTCCACGGCTCCGGCTTGATTGAATCAGCATCGCCGGCAGGTATTCCAGCTTTCTGAGCCGAGACGAGAGGGGAAGACTTTGGAAAGACCAGTTCCAGCGGATCATCTATCAAGTTTTTACGGCGATCTGCGGGATTGTGCTCCAGCACCAATCCTCGATCTCGACTCTCGACCAACATCCACTGCAGAGGATACAGGGAAAGGCCATCATGTTCGGCTCCGCCCCCCATGTCCGCGTGGGCACCCACGAACCAGGCTTGGAGGTGCGAGGTCTGATTCCCATCGGACGTGGTGCCTTCACTTGCTTCGATGGGGAGCAGCGGGAATGCTCTCCGCGCCTCATTTAGCGCGAGTGCGTGTCGGACATGGTGAGCAAAGCTGACATCCGTTCCCACGTCTTCCCCAAATGTATCTCCCGCAAGGACCTGTTTGACCGTGTCGAATAACCCCAAAAACTTGATTTTCGGGGGTTGACGCGTGAATTCTTGACTACCATGGACGTTGTTAGTGAGTACTCGTTCAAGTGGTAGTACCTACTGATTGGATGTTTGGTTACCTGAATCGATACCTTCGCCCTCCATCTGTTCCCCTCTCGTCATTTTTTCACCCGATGAAACTTTTGATGGAATTCCAGACAGACTCGTCCTTGAAGTCAAGTGCTTCTTTCAATGTATAACTGTTAAGCAGCTTGGCTACAACTCGGACAACATCTATGATCAAAACGATTAGCTTGGCCTTTCCGCAGTGTTTTGATGGTGGGAGTGTATGCTAAGGTATTACAAGCCCCACGGCTGAAGCCAAACAGCCAGATTTCGTCGTCCTTGGACGTGATTTTCGTGCAGCAAAACTACGTATTATCAGAAAATTACCATATTTTTATTCACTTGAACATGCTATTTGAAGTACTTACAGTAAACACTTCTTTGATCTGCGTCGTGCAGCCTTTGCCAGTCATACCGTCGTTCCACTTATCTAACGGCTTTTTGTCGACACCAATACCTGGAAAGTATCTTACAATCTAGTGGCTGTAAGCCTTTCGGTAGAACTTTACAGGTATTATGTGCAAAGTCTCACCTGCGTGATGGTGTTTCCGAACTCATCAGTGACCGGTTCGTCGACCTTCACCGAGGCATAGATGCGGAAAATGTTGCTGTTGTTCCCGCTGCCGCGGCCTTTGGGCAGATCCGTTTTAGCTCCTGTTTGTTGAGTGACAACCTTCAGCGCTCTCACCTTCCTGTCCGTCTTCATTGTACCAGGTCCCATCAACGCATACCACGATTCTCTTGAAGTTGGTAGGAGTAGCCATTTTCTCCAAGGTTTGGGCAAAGACTAGATGCCATCAGGGCCTTACATGATCCAAGCATCTCGTTCATGCGTAAGTGGGGAAGTAGAAAGATAGACGGCCTTTAATAACAGCACCCTGTTCCAGCTCACAACTGCATACACGCCCAAATCACTCCAACAAGATATTACATGGCCAACGGCTTGACCGAGTAACTAGGTGCATATGCGCAAAAGGTTCCATGCATCCACCCCCTCCCTCTATCTTTCACCCTCGGTTCATTAGCGAATCGCGTTGAAGAGAAATTGTGGTAGATATCAGGCTGTCGGACTATGACGGCGTTAGCACTCACCATGGAAGCAGGCTGTGTTGTACGACATAATCGAATTTCGGACTGCAGCCTAGTGTGACATGCGTACTGCACTGGCACAAATTCTCTCGAAGGTACACAACCTTTGGTGTGGTCGTGTACCTCCATGAGGTTTGATAAGATCAAGCGAGTTGACCTGGCCGTAAATCTGTGAGATGGCGTTTTGCCTGCTCCTGTGTAGCCATCCCTTCCACAACCGACACTGCAACTTGAAGGTGCCTCATCCAATGATTAATGAGCCCCCCCCCCCCATTGCCGGCAGGAAGGTGAGCAGGCTGCAGGAGGTGGCGAGCATCTCAGCCGTAGGGCAATTTTATGACCGGTCAACTGCAGGCTCCTCTCGGTCACTTGGCATCTTTGCGTTATCGAATGATAGCACACAGAGACCAATGATCAACTCGTTTGCATGAAGTGGCTTGAATGAGCAGATTCTGAATTTGATTCGGGTTCCTACATTCTTTGGAGCCGAGCCAGAACAAGTCGGCTTTTCAGTGTTGGATCGCATGCCTACTGGTCATGACGAGCGGTCCATTGTGAGCCAGATGAAGGCCATTTGAGTGTGTGGGCCGAGCTGGCCTGAGCTACGTTGCCATCGCCGCGGCAGGCTAGGCAAGGCCATCATAAATTGCAAGGTGTTGCAAGGGGACCCTCCAAGTAACCAACGGATCATATCTCCTTGATTCCTCCTAAGAGCAGGCATCAATATCACAATAATTTGCTTCGCCAAATCATTCACAGTCAAAACGATGTTAAATTCAACATTGTGAGCGGTGAGGATGTGGATGAAATGGCTTAAGACGGAGCGACCAGACCAACAGCAACAGCAAAGCGAATGGGCAGGAAGGCGAATTAGTAGGTTGCCTTTTCCCAATCATCAGAATATCTGTGAAAATCGCGACATATGTGCTATAGAATGACATATGAAATCCTCCCCTTCAGTGTCCTCTCTCGACATTTACAACGCCCCGTCTTTCAGGAGATATGCCGCACTTCCACTTCCCGGCCGGCTCACAACAACAGCACCCTCCTTCTGCTCCTCAGTAAGCTCGCGCTTGGAGTAGTATTCCCTCTCCCACGCCTCCTTGACAGCAGCAACCTTGTCAGCAGGCACCATGTGGACTGTGCAGCCACCCCAGCCAGCACCGGTAAGTCTGCTACCATAGGATCCGTTCTCGCGCGCAATGCGGCAAAGCTCGTCAATCTCGGGGGCACTGCACTCGTACAAGTCGCGGCACGAGTCTTGTGTGGCGTTAAGCAGGTCGCCGAGGCGCTTGTTGTAGGTCGTGGTGTCAGAGGTATCCTTGGGCGCCTCTTGCTCGAGCACCTTCATGAACTGGAGGACACGGAGAGCCTCCTCGAAGACGTGCAGGGCGCGCTGGCGGAGCTTGAAGCGATCGGCGCGAACGGAGAGTTTGGACATGAAGATTTGCTCGAGCTCGGGGACGGAGATGCCCAGGACCTTGGCAATCTCCTCGCGGGTGTAGCCTTCGGTGCTGTCGAGAGCCTTCTTGGTGACGTCGATAAGTACGCGGAGCTGGGCTTCCGCGGCCTCCTCTGCCGAAGCGCTCTCGGCATGCGGGAGCTTGTTGTTGGCGAAGTACGCCTCGTGGAAGCCGTGGAGAGAGATGCCGAGCGGGGATGCGTCGGTAGGGAGCTTTGTGCCGGCGGGGTTGAGCGCTGCGTTGAGGAAGGCGCCTGCCATGCTGCACTCGACGACGCGGAGGTTGTAGTGGATGGGGCCGGTGACCTGCTTGTTGGAGGTGACGAAGGACTGAGCGATGAGGAAGGAGAGTTCCGGGTTGGTTGTTGGGAAGAAGACGGGGCGGGCGGTCAGGGAGGGGCTGAAGGAGACGAAGAGAGCAGAGCCGCGCTGAGAGAAGACGGAGGCGGACTGGTCCATGCTTGAATGGTTGTTAGTTCAAGAGGATGCAGGAAAGGGGCATGAAGGAAATACTTACCCGCCCGAGTTGACACCAACGGCGCGCTCACTGACGATGGCAAGTTCGGTGAGCTCGGTCTTGTCAACAGTCTTCTCGCCATTGGCCAGCATAACAGCCAATGCCGAGGCACTAACGAAAGCAGCACTAGAGCTGAGACCACCGCCAACGGGGACGTTGCCGTCCATGAGAATCTTCATACCCTTAGGTCTGAAGTCCTTGCCATGCTTCCGACGCAGCAGCTCCAGGGCGCCGCTCAGGCCGCTCTTGAAGTAGTTGGACCACTCGTGGACCTTGGAATCGATGGGGACATCGGCGCCAATGGGAACCTCAAAGGTGCGAGAGGGGTACTTGTCGGACTGGGCGTTTGCGACGCGGAGGGTGAAGGTCTCGGAGTCGGCGGGAGTGTCGGTAACGGAGAAGGCGAGGATGGCGTCGGCGGTAATGGCCATAGGAAGAACGGAGTAGAGGGAGTAGTCGATGTGCTCGCCGATGATGTTTACGCGGCCTGGGGAACGAGCGACAACGGAGGCTGGGTGGCCGTACTCGGACTCGAACTGCGAGAGGAGCGAAGACCAACGCTTAGTCTGGATGGGGAGGGCATCATCTGTGTAGATGTCGGCGAGGGCGCTCGCGGTGGGAACGGGACCGGCCATGGTGGGCGGACGTGTGTTTCGCTCGAGATCGAATGCGGATTGGGTATCTTTGATGCTGAAGAGACAATGTTGAACAAGAGGATCCGAACTGGCAGAAGAGGAGAAGAGAAGAGAAGAGAAGAAGAGTGTGGTAGTGGTAACTTGTGACGTTTTGGGGGCGGGTTTGTATCTGGATGGTGGGGGTGGGTGGGACGAGGCAGGGTGGTTTGACGATGCGCCGTAATAACCCCGCGATGGAGCTTTGGTGTTTTTGCGGGTGCTCTCTCAACTTTGCTGCGCTGGAAGTGGTGCGCGTGTGGTGCCTCAAGCTGCTACCCCGCAATTGCCCCTCGTTTGGCGATCCTTGTCTGAAGAATGCTGGATGAGCTTTGCCTCGAATGTCTCACCAATAACAAGATTAACAGAGCTCATCTTGATGTCTGGGAAAGTTGAATTGAGTTCGACCTTCGGTCGGCACGAGACAAGGAGCGAATATAACGAAAGACCCTCGAGGATACATGGCCTCAAAGACTCATGCAATGCAGCAGCTTCATACAGCTTCAGACGCAGTGTTACTCTTCGGGACATTGACACCCCACCTCGGTCGATAATTCCACCGTCATGCAAAATTTCCAACAATTTTTTATCTCATTTTCTCTTCGACAAGCCTGACAAGCGCCAGTGTAGCGTGATCCTCTAGACTGCATAAAGCAGCTCACCTTTCCGAACCATACCAGACCAGGCTGGACCAGAAAGGTCGCCCGGCCCAGCAACCGAGAAGGACATGGTGCGCTGATTTCGGCCTTCTGGGTTGTCCGGGGTCTCCAGCTTGAACTGGACAACGGCCCCGTTCCATGGCGGGCCGCATCATCAGAAAATCGGCGGAGAACTCGAAAGCTGCCTCGGTTGCGATACAAAGCTAGCGCTAGCTTGAGCATCAAGCTTTTTAGCCATTCTCTCTACTGAAGAGGTGGGCCAATACACAGCACGAACAACCAGGTGGGATCGGTATCAGACAACTCTTTGTTCGAAAAGCTTGAGCAACAAGATACAACGAAACGCCACATATTCTAAAAATGGGCGGTTTTGAATGAGTGAGCGATACCTGGCCAAGCCGTATCGGTGGAGTGACTGCACGCCATCACCGGCCTGGCGCATTGCCTGACTGGGTTCTAGGATTTTACGCCATGGGGTGCGCGGGGATGTCGGGGGCGAGAGACTTTGGTTTTTTTCTCCCTCTAGCGGGGATCTCGCGCTGTTGATAATTTGAACAGTATTAACGTCTTCTTACATTTCGCAAAATGTGTTTCACTTGAAATCGCAAAGCAGTCTCGGATTCAATTCTTAGACATTCTGCTACCTTAGATTGAGGCAAAAGCTAACGCAACGAGCTAAAAAAGGGAAAAAAGGGAGGACAGGACATAGAGGAAGAGGCGGAGAGAGAACGGCGGAAAGCCAAAACGGACTTAGAGCTCCTCAGGCATACCATCAGCATAGGCGCTCATTGCCTCCAAGGTTTCGTGGTGTAGTTGGTTATCACGTCAGTCTAACACACTGAAGGTCTCCGGTTCAAGTCCGGGCGAAATCATTTTTGCAGTTTGACGCAGTTTCTGAATTGCAGGATCAGATTTTTACCGCCTATCGTTGATTGACCTACGTACTCAACAATAGTCCTAGATATCTCTTCGACTTTGCCGCGACCGCTCCGCCGTGTGACCTGTGTTTGTTACGGGTAGACCACTTGATAGTAGCTCCAATGATCACAGAAAGTTTGACCAGCAAGTGCTTCAAAGATTCTCGAGCTGATGGCAAAAGGCGTGGTACCCTGATGGAATTCGCACTCAGACTATCATGGTTCCGTGGGCCTGCAATCTTTTCAAGTACTTAAAGGCACCGACCTGTTCCCCTAGATAACCTGCATCACCACTCCCCCGGCGCAATTTCCTCAGCTCTTTCCGTCCCACCCTTGCGAGCAAAATCACCAACGAGAAACAAGAACAAACGAGGCACTAACATATATGTGCCCCGTGAAGGCCTGCATGATGCTGAGCTCACCAAGTGTTCACACACGGACCTTACGTTCACACTTCTGGATATTGTCTTGCCAACATTGACCCATACTGGTTTAGTCGTTGCCATGACATATTGTGAGCCTATACTTGCTTTGTAACATTTCATTGCATTTCCACTACAAGCAACTGCAACTGAGGAGTCATCCAAATAAGAGCTAGCCACGGCATCAAGGTACCGAACGTGGAAGGCAATCAACTTCCTGGATCTTGCGGGAACGCTACCCGAATTTCTTCAAGTCGAGAAGCGGCCAGTCACAGCCTTAGCCGTCGGTTTCTTCTCGAGCGCGCTCCAGTTGTACCGCTTCAGAGACTCCTCAACGCTAAGAAGTTCCTTCTTGTCCTCATCAGTCAAGACATCCATCCCCTCCACGATCGTGATTCCTTCCCACGTCGGGGGGTAGTGATCCTGTATCCATTGGAAGAACTGCCACTGTGAAAGCTGTTCCTGAGCCATGGCACCCCATAGTTCAACATAGCTTTGGGGAGAAACCTGCACGGCGGCGGTTGAGCCCTCCTCAGGCGCGAGCCCAGTGGCTCGTCCCCAGGCGGCGAGATAAGATTCCATAGTCAAGGTTTCAACGTTGCATCGGACAAAAGATCCTGGAGGAGGGGGGCTCTTCACCAGTCTTCGAACAAAAATGCCTCCGTTGGTGACGGGATCTCCAACACATGGGTACGGTGTGTTGGGCGGCACCGGGTACAAGGTGACATACTTCTTGGCGCTCGGCTTCAAGCTGGTTAGTATATATCGTAATCTATTGTGGAACGATGTTCTCTTTTATAAACAATGGACGATGTAGTCAAATCGACTGTATTGAGAGAAGGATCTGCACTTGCTTGAGTAATTATAGCAGAATAGCCACCCGCTGCATACCTACCTACGCCATCCTACTGCGACGGCTGCATATCATTCCGACGGAGTCTTGTCGATTTGTCATATGAGTTCTGTCAATGTAGCGCGGTATTTGGCCCCGTCTGTAGACTGGAGTGCAATGCGTATGCTCTCCCATGCACTCGGCAATCATGTTTTTCGGCAGAATTGACTGTAGTCATCGGCACTCGGCACTATCTCAGGAGCCGAGACGAGACGACAGAAATCCTTCTTACCACCATAACACTCAACGGCTCCAACAATGCTAAAAGTGCAGAAATCGGTATCTCGTAGTTGAAAACACAATAGAGATGTTTTCCAGAGGTTTTGCATGAGGAATTGAAGTGAACGTTCTACGCGAAGCTACTGGTGTTATCGAATGGATTGAAATCCATCTCTAGAACATCCATCAACGAAAACATAGCATCTTCAACAGGTGTAAGAGTCGCAGCTACCACTCGGTCATCCGGCAAACGATTTATTCCAGCTTCTTCTAGATCCAAGATATCCACGTTTTCATCGAGAGTGAGCGGAAACGGAAGTAATTCACGGATATGTGCATTAACGCTCCTTGCCACCCACGACGCAGATGATGATGGAGTGTCGCCCTGGAGGTTATGACCAGGCGTTTGTCTCCGCTCAGCTTAGAGTTGAAACCCCTGAATTCTCTGGAGCACTGATCGAGCGCCGCCGTACTTCTTGCTCATAACGCGCCGCACAGAACAGATGCTTTCGATGCCACTCTTGCGAATCGTTTCCTTCTCTGATGAGTTCAGCCGATGAAATACCAACACGATTGCGGCCACTAAAGACAAGAAGCCGTTGCTGCTTAGTCAGTAGGATGAATCCTCTCTGTAGTGGATCTCCTCGTACAACTCGGCAATACAGGTCGCCGCTAGAACTGAGGCATGAGAGGTCCTCCACAGGGCATGGCGACTCTTGCTGAGCATCTGCACAATGATGCTTGTCGTCAAGTAGTGAATGTGCAGCTCTGAAGTATAGCGGTCATAAGATTTCCGTGTGCCGTCTGCATCGTAGAGCCGTAACACGTCTGGTAGGCCGCTCTTCCATTCGCAGAGCGACGTGATGACACTTTCGATCTCGGATTCAACTGGTACGCCTTTTCTGGTGTTTAACTCCGACAACTTGCCAATCACGTATTGTAAAGAGACCATTTTGAATACCCCTTGCGTTTTAAAGTCCGAAGCTGCAAGAGGCTGAACGTCGCAGTCTCCAGGCTTCAGCGAACGAGGCCGGCCCCAGTAGGCAACCATGAGTGTCTCGCTGTTCTTTTCAGTGTCATTGGATGGAATGAGAATACTAAGAACCTACTTCAGATAATAAGAACGTACTGTCAGATGCCAAAATATACGCCGTATGACTCCGAAGGTATTGTTCTCTCTGAAACTTGATTGGGTGTGAATTCCCATCTGCACTGCCAGCCGCACAGCCATACCAGTCCAATGCCACGGCCCATGAAGCGTGACAAGATATGGTGAGGCTGGGGTCCAACATGACAAGAGGCATAGTTCCTTGAGCAGGAATACGTTGTCTTTTTCGAACTCGACGTGTATCAAAGTTTCAATCTTTTCGTAAAGTGAGTAACTCAAGCTCATGCTACTGGGGTCATGACACATAAGACTGCCAACGAAGCACACAGCTTGCTGTAGAAGGATCGACGACTCTCCCATCGAGAGGTCTTCCGCATCAACGACGGGAAAGTAAGGAAGGCAAATTCAAAGAAGGCATCCGTCAAAGCCTTGCGCAATGATGGCATTGGCAAGGTGTCAGCTTGAGTGGCCTTGACCAAGACATCTCGGGTCTGCATAACTCGCGGCGGGAGGCCATCGTGAAGTGCCATCGGCTCTGCGGCGGAGTCGTACGACAAGACGGAAGCATGGGAAATGAATCCCTCCGGCTGGTATTCCCGTGTTGTCAACTCGGAAGACCGAGCTGGAGTCAACATCCGCGGATTATCCCTCGCTCTATCAGTGCCAAGACTGGGAGGCGATGGCACGGCCGGCACAGTCGGCGATCTCGGCAGTATGGGCTGTCTTTGCCGGGCCGTCATCTTGCGGCTCTTTCGAACGCCATCTCGACGGCTGAAGAGGAGAATTATGTCAAAGATTTTACTGAAAGAGTCATTACGGAACAATAGCGGCTTACATGCACTGAACACCGGCACGGCGACAGTTTGCGCATCCGTGACGAGGGCTATCTTGCAGGTCACACCTGACATTTTTGTTCGGTCATCAGTTTGTTGTATCATAGGCTGGGAGCATGTCTGTGAACCGACTTACTTTTCTGGAGTGGCACTCAACGCATACGACATTAGCACGGTCTCGCCCTGTCCTGGTATTCATCTTGAATGAGGTTCGAGCCCAAGATTGTGAGACTCAGGCGTCTTCCAACGTCGGTAGAGCTGAAGCTTTCCAGTTTGCCGTTTGACTGATATGTGCCGAATGACACAGCGTGTGGTATGGGAACCGATGTGGGAGCCGAGATTACGTCAGGCCCGGCGCCTGTGTCTAGTCAATGTGCCCGACGGATCGACCCAAGTCCGAGTCCGTTTCCGTTTACATTACAGATCAGGTATGCTTTGTTGAGTTTTGTGACCTACACGAATTGCTATCTCTATCTATGAGCCCCGTTGCCAACTACAAAGCCTTATGTGTAGTCGGTGGTGAGCAATACGACAGAGTCAGCACCGTTCCAAGATGTCCAGCCCCATGTAGAGGGATACTTCGAGCGACGAATCATTCGAACAAGTTCAAAGTTGTACTTGATTATTATCGATCTCTGTGCTGTAGCCATGCATATTATGTGTGCTTTCCTGGAAGTGTCGAATGGTATGCATCCCACACTTACTACCCTCCATATAACTAGTGCCTCATCTACGGATGCATAGGGCCGAACCTCTCAAAGCTTGCAGGTGAATCCGATTGGCCGTTGAGCCGAGACTATCAACTCTTCAACATTGTCGTCCGAGGATGGGGAAGCAAGCATTCACCTTGGGCACCTCAAACTTCTTTATTCGTGTTCGTCTGGACGTTCATAAAACGCGAGGTAACAGCCTTGGTTTCTTGGATTGCAATATTCAGCTGTAGAAATTGTCCTTTCTTGTGGCCTTTACTTCATCATTCATTGTTAAAGTCTGTTGGCCAATCACCGATTATGGCGTCACTTCCTGTCTCAGGAGTGAGCAATTATAACAAGGGCATTTGCGCTTCCATCAGCCTTGATAATCCGGTCTACAGTCTCCTCGACAGCATCCGGGTTGCCAAATAGCATACCAGGACGATGAACGCCATAGAATGGTTTCGTCGTGTCTTCGTCTCAGAGGATGGGTTTGAACAGTGCGCTAAGGCAGGGAGTCACATTGCCCGAATGAAATGGATGTGGCGATATCGAGTCGGGCAGCGGATTGCATGCGGATGGCCTCATCTCGGCGCTATGGTGACAGGTGTCAGCGCCCATAAGGATGAAGCTATCCGGGCTGGTTGTCACCTGCGCAATAGCGTTAACATGACCAACGGTATGACCTGGCGCGTCCAAGATGTAGAAGCTTCCGTCACCGAAGTAGTCGATGGCAGGAAACGATCCGACTTTGATAGTTGACTCGGCGAAGCTCAGTTCACGGAGTTCACGGCCGGCGAAATCGGAATCAAGGACTGGGGACCCTGGGTTCGTAGGGTAGCCCGGCGTCAGAATATCCTTGAAACCCGGGCCGACTATCAGCGAAGTGCTTGTGGGAAATCGGCTTGGATCGCCGATATGATTCCAGTGCCAATGGCTCCAGATGATGCTCTCGATTTCACCTGCTTTAACCCCGCCTTCTTCGAGGATCTCTTTCACATCCTTCTCCACGCTGCACGTCGTCCCACTCTCTTTCATCCAGTTCTGAATAGGAGGTGAGAGATTTTCGAAGTCTTTGCGCACCCCGAGATCAAAGAGGACTTTGCGGCCAGTGGGTGGGTGTTCGACGAGGAAGATGTACGAAGGACACAAAAGCCAAGAATGACCTTTGATGGCGTGTGAAACCATGCTCTCCATGCTCACCCTAATCTCCGATGTCGAGTCGATGACCCTGACATTGACGGTCGAAGCAGATGGCAGTACGCGAAGTTTGATAAAGGCATGGTGGCGTATTTCCGGTCCAATGGGCAACTTTGGATATACTGCCGTCAAGGAAGCCACAAGGTTTTCGTGGTTATTTATTGATCTTTTTCCTCAGTGACCATATTGTCCAGGAGCACCCAAAGCAAGAGCGAAAGAAATCCGGCACTCGGTACTCGGCACACGGTAGTCTTGTCGGCACTAAAGAGCCTGCATTTCCAAACGCCCCAAATTAGTATCACTTCGTTAACATGACTGTGGGGATATAAACGGCATGTGGATTCTCAAATCTAATCTCAAAGGAGTTACAGTTGGAAATGCTGCTCCATAACACAATGTCTATTCGTACAGCTTTAGTAACGGGATCCGCCAATGGCATCGGCCGAGCCATAGCACTGCGCCTGGCGCAAGATGGTTTCCAAATAGCCATCAACGATCTTGCCAGCCAAGAAGTCAAGTTGAGAGAGAGCTGCAGTATGAGCTTGAATTGAAAGGTTAGCTCCTGGATATGAGCTTCTCATACATTCCACCAACGTTAGCTGGCAATGTGGAGGTGTGCGGACTGCTGTTCTTACTGCAGACATCAGCAACGAAGACAATGTCGCGAATTTGATTCGAAACACATCAGAGATGCTTGGAGGGATTGATGTAAGTATGAATCAAAACGCCGATGTCAAAGTCGGAGCTTAACAGGGTGGGTCCAAACCGATCCTCGAAATCAGTGCCAGTGAATGGGATAAAGTACAGGCTGTAAGTTTCCAGCCCAAGACTTCTGAATTTCACGTGTTGATATGACATAGATCAATGTTCGGGGAGTCTTTCTGTGCTATAAATATGCAGCTCAGGAGATGATCAACCAGGGTCGAGGAGGGAAGTTGATTGGAGCTTGTTCTATCTCAGGATACCGACCAGTATGCCACATCAGAACTCTAGTGAAGTGCAGCAAGAAAGTTGACGATTTTGCAGTCTTAATTCGCGCCAGCCCACTCCGTCAGTAAGTGGGCTGTTCGGGGGCTCACCCAAGCTGTTGCTATGGACATGGCACAGCACGGCATTACGGTCAACGCGCACTGTCCGGGCATGGTCCGTACCGATATGTGAGAGACCATTGACACTAGCCTTACAACTAGAATGGGACTTCCCAAAGGTGCTGCGTTTTAGAACGGTGTTGCGACCCGCATTGCGTCTAAGAAACCTCAGGTATGTCTTGGCCCGTGACGGTTAAGCCTTATGACAGCTGTTCAAGGCGAAATGCAGACTCCTGAAGACGTCGCTGGTTTGGTACGTTTTCTGGCAGGGAAAGACTCAGATCAGATCACTGGGCAGAGCTTGATCGTAGACGGCGGTGTGGTATTTTCTTAGGGAACGTTTCCTTCAGTGGGGTATAGTTGGTACGCTTCCAAAGTGGACAGTTGGGCAAAGGAGACACAGGGGTTCATGGAAGAAGCAGGCGCTAGTATGACAACGTTTGACGTGATTCACGGTTACTTAGACTTATCGCCACTCTCACCTTTTGCCCTTTCTTGTTGAGAGTTGATCAACAATGTGCTATTATATTCAGTGTGCAGTTTAATGCCTGTTGGTTCAAGGTAGGTGACTACTTATGCAACTTCTGTTGGTTCTAGCCACCCTAGTTCTTACCTCCGTGCGCTAACTGGATGAGCACAGTATCTCGCCGTCGCTAAAAGTAGTAAAAGTCCGAGGTGGGGATCCCGGCCGGAGTGAGACTTCGGGGTCTGCCTCAATCAGAAATGCCCGGACTACATATAGAAAAGTTGAGCGTAGCAATCAATATGTGGAAGGACGAGTAGTTGACTTTTTCGAGCTTAGAGATCCTTCCACAACGAGGTTCGAGGGATTTTGACATGAACTCTCAGATAGCTGGCTTGGTAAGCTGATTGTGTAGCTCCGATGTCTGTGAACTTTCTTCCCTAACCAAAGTGCTCTCACTCAGGCGTTGGTCGCCGCGCTTCTGTACAAAATTGCAACATGGTGGTTCCATCCTCTACGAAAGTTTCCGGGCCCTAAATCGGCGTCAATTAGCAATGCAAGTTCTAGCACTCCCTCTTTTTGTGCTATGCTGCGTGCAAGTGCTCACACATTATTATGTAGGTTTTGTATTCGTGGAACTTCATGAGCGGTCGTCAGCCGTATCGTCAACTTGAGCTACACGAAAAGTACGGTGAGTTGCATGACCCATGTGCAGACACCTACTCTGGGAGTGCTCGCTCTGACTGTTTTGTCGTACCAGGCCCCGTCGTTCGCGTAGCACCAAACGAGTTAAGCTTTAGTTCGGCATCGTCATGGCAGGACATCTATGGTGTACGCAAGGGTGTTGAGCCTTTTATCAAGAGTGAATTCTATGATGGGGGCAACTTCGCCGCGGAGGCCTTGTCTATCGTCAGCGAGCGTGATCCCAAGAAGCACGCAGAGATGCGCAGATATCTAGGTACCGCATTTTCCGACAGATCTCTCAAGTCACAAGAACCGATGGTCGCCGAATGTGTCGACCGCCTTATTGAGAAGATTGGAATGGTAGACGTGGGGACTCAAGGAACCGACATGGTCATGTGGTTTAACCTTGCCACCTTCGATATAATTGGAAGCCTGGCTTTTGGCAAGGACTTTGGCGGTGTTGACTCGGGCAAGGAGCACTTCTGGGTTTCGATCGTCACCAAAAGCTTGCGTATGGGGGCTCTCGCCGACTGCTTTCGCAGATTTCCAGCCCTCGCCGGCATTGCCCAGACAGTGTTTTCTGGCCTTATCGACAAGCTTCTCAAAGACAGTCGCACGCACCAAAAGTACACCATGGACTTGGTTCAAAGGTTTGACTGCAAATATCCAAGGGCAAATGCTGTCTAATTGTTTTGCAACGCTGTGGCTCACTTTTGATAGTCGCCTGGCCTCACACTCGGATCGAGAAGATTTCCTCACGAAAATGATCGAAGCCCGAAATGAGGCGGCTATATCCGACGCCCAGATTGCAGCACATTCTTCTGACTTTGTGTAAGTCGCCCAAATTCTCCCCTATGGAACGGACTCATAATCGTTTCTCAGAATTGCTGGTAGCGAGACGACAGCCACTACTCTTTCTTGCATGACGTACTACCTGCTGAAGAACCCAGCGATTTCGGCGCGCTTACAGGATGAGGTGCGGTCAGCTTTTGTCAGCTATGAGAATATCACTGCGGCGACGGCGACTCCATTGAAGTATCTCAGAGCCGTGGCGCAGGAGGCTATGCGCGTCTATCCTCCGCTTCCTTTCGCGCTTCCCCGTGTGGTACCCAATGGCGGCTGCACGGTTGATGGTCATTTCTTGCCAGGCGGGGTGCGTACTTGCAATTCCTTGCCTTGGGAACTCTTAGCTTACATCAGTTCATCTCAAGACCACAGTTTCGACCAGTACCTTTGCGGCAAGTATGTCATCTTCGAATTTCGACGAGCCGTGGGAATTTAGACCAGAGCGGTGGCTCGTGGACAACCCAACGGATGACCTCGATGCAAGTCAGCCCTTTTCATATGGAACGCGATCGTGCATGGGACGAAGGTGAGATTCCCAATGATGACATGGAGGGTTGAGGCATGTACTAATCATCCAACGTCGTAGCCTTGGCTGGATGGAAATTCACACAACCATGGCGAAGCTAGTCTATCGGTACGACTTGGAGCTTGCTGATGAGAGTCTCGACTGGCACCGGGATTCAAGGATGCATACGTTATGGGAGAAGCCTCGTCTGATGGTGAAGCTCAAGCCCCGTGTGTTCCAATAGTAGGATGGCAGCTAGAAATCAGGCTTCGCAGGGAAGCTTCCGCACTTTCACGCTGTTTGGTTTTGTTCATGATCCTTAAAAAGGTCTTCGATAACTACTAGCCCAAGACCAAGGTCTTTGGCGCCGACCACGCTTTGCTAGGTGGACACTACATTCCTTCAAAGATGGTTGGTCGATGGTGGTACGAAGTAAATTTGAAATCAAATGTGCATGAAATTGAAATATTGATCATGACTTTCCCTCACTCTCGCACCTCTTATAGCCCTCCACAGCCCTTTTGAGGCTGATGCGCATCGGCTTTGAAGGCGCTCGTTGGCTTCAATCAAGATTTTCTACGTGTAAAACGGACCATGAGTGCGGGTTTCCACCACATCACATGCAGTTGGCTTTCCTGTTCCCAATCTAAATCTTTGCCAACCAGCTCTAAGTCGTACTGCCACAACATCTTGGCCAAGATGAGATTGATTTCCATGTATGCGAAGCTTAATAGTTCATTAGCATGGGATAGCTTGTGAACTAGGTTGTGTTCACAAGGGGCTAAGGGATGTGAGACTCACTTTTGTCCCAAGCATCCCCGAGGGCCCATGGAGAAGGGCTGGCTAGCCTCGCGGACATCTGTGGATTCCGCGTCTAGCCAACGTTCAGGCTTGAAGTTTTTCGGGTCAGAGAAATACTCTTCGCTATGCGTCAAGGTCCACGCATGCGCGAAGACCTCAGCCTATAGGCACTCTCATTAGACTCCATGCTTTTGATTGTGCTTTAAGTTTACTTACACCAGCTGGGACATAGATATCGCCGACACTCATGCCTGGCGATAATCGTGGAAACCCCTGAGATCCCGGTGCATAAAGCCTAAGGCCCTCGCTGATGACGGCTTGCAAGTATGGGAGCTGGCGAGCTGCAGTGGCATTGATCTCTTCGAATGAGGAGAACTTTTTTGTTATCTCTGCTTGAAGCTTTAGTAGACACGCTGGGTTTCGGAGCAGATAGTACGTTGCCGCGGCAAGGAATGTCGCAGTCGTCTCGCCACCTGCGATTCTGTGAGGATACCGTTAGCAAGACCTCGAGCATTCCCAAACGACCTTGAATCAAGGGGACGCACGTCAAAGTTGACACATGGGCTGTCATCTCTTCTTCGCTGATAGCTCCCACTTCGTAACTCTTGACAACGGTAGACAGGAAGTCATTGCGGTTTGACTTTTTGGATAGACGTCTGCGGTTCCAGGGTTAACAATCAACCATGAGCTACATGCCGCCAAGCGTGAGCTCAGTATACTACGTACTCTTCGACTTTTTTCCGGCTATACTGGGAGTTTTGGTTTTGGACAGCAAGAGTTGACGGGAATAGCACGCGGGCTACTCTAGCCACAAAAGGGAGACGACGAAGGTTGTCAACCAGTGTGATGAAGTATAGATGGCTGACTATGATCTCCGACCAACTGTGTGGCTTTCCTATAATGCGAAGTGATTAATATTACGATGTTCAGCTTGGCCATCTCCCAGCCAAAGCATTAGGCTTGAAACTCTCAATTTTTCACTACTTACCAGCTTTGACGCTATGAAAGGATTCGCCAAACGCCATTTCGCCCAAGGAGTCAAAGGCTACCATCTCGAACCACTTGGTCATATTGAGACCTTCAGATTGGAAGGCATCTTCTCCAAGCCGATATACGAAAGCGTCGACTGTTTTGGTAATGATGTCTTCTTGATCGAGCAACATCTTTGTGGAGAAGGCAGCAGACAGCATCTTGCGCATTTTCCCATGCTTATGAGGATCGCGCTCACTACCGATGCATAGAGACTTGAAACCTGCGCCGTAAATATCGTAGAACTCGCTTTTAATCACTGGTGCGGCGCCTGCGGCACGGTGGCCGTAGATTGCCTTCCACGACTCCACTGAGGCGAAGGAGAGCTCATTGGGAGAAACTCTGACAACAGGTCCTAGTGAAGTTGGGTTAACAAATCTGAATCTTGGCTGAGCTGTGAAAGAAAATTCTACCGTGTTTGCGATGCTGCTCTTGGATGGCGTAGTGAAAGCGGCCAGTCTGAGAGTGATATATTCGCCAGATCTATAGAGAGAAACTTGAGCATTGGAAGCACAATCTATGGCTTGTGTGTACTCACCAGACTGTATCTTCCTAATAGAGGCCCTGGGAACGCGGCTAGCTTATGGAAATACGCATTATAGATGCTGGCTGTCAAGAGATACAAGACGACCTAGGCACGTCAGTCTTAAGGGCCAGTAAAGCTTTGTCTTATTCACAGCAGTTCTTACAAGACACAATGATACAGAGGCAGCCCTTGCCACGGTTAGTTGTGCAACTCCCGCTCGAAAAAGGTGCAAGCACTCTTTGAGTGAAATGACTCGGTCAGGCATCGCGTTCTTAGAAATCGATGCTCTTGAGCATCTGCCACTATGCTTGATGTGTTTGCTGGCGATCTAGCCGGTGGAATTTCGCATAAAAGACACAAATCATACTATTTGCTCTCCTGGCCACCCGGCAAACGTTTGCGTTGTAGCTTTCACGACGCGAGGGATATGTTGGAAGAGCAGCGGAGGACTTCGTCTCATCGGCAAATTTCCCTTTTGGGAAGTGAGGTAAACTTCCAACCATCATCGCGCTAAGCCATTTTCAGTAAATCCCGAGAAATGCGCGGAACAACAGTAGGACTGCTTACACCAGAAACAAGTAAAGCACCGAGCATGAATTATGATATTCAAGAAACCAACACTCAACGACTCTTGATTGACAAGTTACATAACTTGGGTATCTTCAAGTAAAGGATTGTCATGATCCGGACCGAGCAGTGAAAGTATTAGTCCTCGCTTTGCGAGACAAACATCTCATTCATGAGCTCTTGGAGTCTGCTTAATCAAGTCGAACATTGTAGGAATGCGGGTTTGTCGTGGATAGACGGTCATTAGTGTGACCTCGGCAAAGCTGCTCCAGGATTGGGCCCCAGCGTGCTCAATCAACTTTCAATGATGCTGCCGACTCATCGCATTCCGAGGCATTCTTCATTAAAAAAAAAAACAGGTTCGTTCCCGTTCATGACTGATCGAAAGAACGGCCAAAGTTGCCTCACAGGCACAGCAGTGGCGGAAACCCGTACGAATGAGCCGCGCCTCAACACGAACCTCCTCCGCCTCAACGCCCCAGCCATGTGGGCAGCCCGTAACACTGTCTATGTTTGGCAGTAAGCTCGTGATTCACGTCAAGAGCGGCAACATTCATTCTTTTTCATCTCAGCAACCTCCCTCGGCTATGTCGTATGGGCGCGGCAATGCACCCAGGCGGCAACACTTGATTGGGGGAGCCGTGCATGAACCCGACTTGACGACTTCAGATAAGTTCTCCGGGGGACTATTACGAGCGCCACGTTCTTCGCAAGACATGCGAGTTGCGGGTAGCTCTACCTCTGACGGGCTCACTGCTGCGGACCGTTGTTGAGATGGATTGGCTTCTGACGATCGGCTTCTAGCGAAATCAAAGCTCATATAAAACACCTTGAAATCTTTTTGTCTAGTTGAAAGTAGGCGTGTTGACACTTTCTACCAGTAACTCTATGTTTACAGTTACATCAACTGAAAACAATCTGACATATAGCAAAGTCGATCACTCATCATGTCACTCAGCGTAACAACCGCACCCGACGAAGTCACCAGCATCTCTCCCATTTCTCACCTCGACAGCAAAGCCTCAGGTACTACCCAGGAAGCCATCCAAAAAACATCTACCTCCAACGATGGGTACCTCCGCTTCAACCCAGTCATCGTCATGCTCATCGGCTACCTCGAACAAGTCAGCCCAGGAGGCCTAGACTCCGCAGTCCGTTCCGCCCACAAAAAGAACCCAGCCTTCATGTCAAAACTAGCCATCAAAGACGCCAACTGCTTCTTGATCTTTGCAAACGACCTCCTCAAATGGGTGCCCCACGAGAACTTTGGAGGCAAAGACATATACGACATCCTCTGCACCTTCTACTTCGTCCTAGACCAACCCCCGCTCCGCAAGCTCCAGACCCCGATCCGCCCAGACTCGCAAGGCCTCACCTGGCTTTCCTCCTGGATCGTAGTCTACGCCCAACTCATAGGCCAATTCCTCGACACACCCGCCTCCATCACCCCCTCGTCCCTCCAATCCTTTACAAACTCGCCTCCTTACCGCTTCCACGAAGCAGAAATCCCAAAGGGCGGCTTCCGCACCTTCAACGCCTTCTTCACCCGCCGCCTCAAACCGGGCCTCCGACCAATCGCCTCCCCCGACGACGACAGCGTGATAATCTACCCGGCAGACTGCACCTACGACAACTCCCTCGCCAACCAAAGCGTCGCAAGGATCTCCCCCAACGGCTCCGTCGAGATCAAAAACGTCCGCTGGCCGATCAGCATGCTCCTCCACGGCAGCGAGCACGCCGCCGACTTTGACGGCGGGATCTGGATGCACGCGTTCTTGAACACGACAAACTACCACCGCCAACACGCGCCCGTTTCGGGCAGGGTGCTAGAAGCCAAAAATATCCAGGGCATGGCGCACCTAGAGGCTGATACCGTCGGCGACGGACAAGTCCGTATGATGGGCGGGGCGGACGCTTCCGAGAACCCGGGTTATCAGTTCCTCCAGACGAGGGGGTTAGTTGTGATTGAGAACCCGGTGCTTGGCAAGGTCGCGTTCTTGCCCATTGGGATGGCTATGGTTTCGTCAGTGGAGTTGTTTGTGGAAGAGGGGGATGTAGTGAGGAAGGGAGACGAGGTGTCGTGTTTCCGGTTTGGCGGGTCGGATGTCATTTGCATTTTCCAGAAACGGGCCGGGTTGAGGGTTGAGGATTTCGTCCCGACGAGGGGTGAGTTTTCGAACTATGGGAGTATCATGGCTAGAGCGCCGACGGGAGGTTCACGCACATAAGTCAGGCTCTAAGAAAAGTCGCCTACCGTCTGAATATGTACTTGGATGGCTTCCTTTAACATCTTGCTCAAGGCTGGCACCTAGAGAAGATGTAGGCAAAGCTACTCAAATCCACGATGCTTGGGACCAGGAGTTTTCTATTCGAGCAAATCACAGCCATGAAATTTGTGACAAAACAAAACAAAACATAACCAAAAAGAGAAAAAATTGCGTCAATCGCTGACGGGAATTGAGCCCGACGTGGCTGGTGCTTGTTAATGACATATTCCAGAGAACATCAAGGATGTAGGGCGAGAAGCTTACGGGTCGAACCCACAACCTTGAGATTAAGAGTCTCACGCTCTACCGATTGAGCTAGCCGGGCAACCGGCGTGTATACTGGGGTTGTTGAGTTCCCCAGGTCGAGGATGGCTTCATGTTCTGAATTTACCAGTTTGTGGTTGTGTATCTAAGTGGGGAGGAGAGAAAAGACTTCAGGAATCCCCATTGTGGATGTAAGGTGGGACACTACAACAGAGCGCGCCTCGTGATAGATGTGGGGAGTGGATGTCTTCAGGGTTGGGTTGAATTTAATGTTAGCTTAGATTTGGCGTCCTTTTGACAAAGTGGTTCAATCGCAAGATTCATGGATCCTAGAGCCATTTCCAGTGGGGGGATGCTCATCTCTCTCTCTTTCATCAGTCGGTAACGGTGTCAGACCGTTCACAAATGGCACAATCATGTTAGTCAACGATAAGACCACAAACGAGGGCATGCTGAAAGAACGCAGATAGTCTCTATTAGCCGCTACGCAGGCACAAAAAGCCATGCGGAGGATGCTCGCTTGAAGGGGAATCTCCCTCCATGCGCTAGCTATCCAGGCAACCCCAAGGAAGGGTTTCGATTACTGAGTTTTGAGAAAAAAGAAGAGTCCCATCCTTCACCGACTCAAATACCCCCCTCAAACAACCATGATCAAGGCCAACTCAAGGCTCGGGTTGGCCTACTAGCCTTCCTATCCTAATCCTAGCGAGGACTGCCTCTGGTGGCCCTGTTAATGCATCCGTTCTGCATGGCACGGAACATGACGCGACGGTGAAGTGCATCGGTCGAGGGTGCAGAGCTGTCAGATGAGGCAACGGGCCTGGAACTCTCGCCAGACGGACCACTCTAGTGTCCTCTAGCCAGGAACGCAGGTGCGCCGCTGCCGATGATGGGGCTTCCGATCTCGCCTGGTGCACCTACGGGCCTGTGGGCAGGATACGCCATGTCGTTAAATTCGGGCACCCATCGCATCAAGTGCTGCCCTGGGCCGTTTGCGTCCAACTGGACCTCAAAGGTGCCTCCACCATTCTGCAGGTTGCCTTCCGTTTCGGCAAGAGCCAACAGGTCAACTTCAGGGACAGACTCAGTCCTATTGAGCTGGTCAACCTCTGCCTTGATAGCTGCTAGATCAACAAAAGACTCTGAGCTCTCGGGGTTGCGGGCTTGCAGTTCCTTGCAGGCGCGACACATCATGAGCCGAATCGTCACTGAACGAGGATTTCCAGCCGTACGGATCGGGGGCATGGGCGGTATCATAGTAGGGCTTCCCCAGGTCGAGTTTCCCACTCCTGGGGCCACGGTGTATGCCATTGGTGAGGGTCCCCATAAGCTATTGTTGATGCTAGAGAAACCATTGTCGAATGGCAGTGGAAATGCCGATCGTTGCACCTGGCTACGGTGCCTAGCCGCATTGATTGCCGCGCTCATCGGGTCCGATGCATCATCGACCAGGACGCTGCTACCTAGATGCTGTTGGTTTGTGAAGTCATCTGATGGATCATTTCGGTGTCCCTGAACCACACTACCTGGTCGTCCAATGGGCGCTGGCCTGCCGATAGGCTGTGATGGAATTGGCGATGAAGCTGGGTCGAAGCTGCCAGAATGTTGTCTCGAATGTGATCCGGGTCCTAGTGCCATGTTTTGCATATGGTCGCCCATGGGCTGTGGGAAGCCAGGAGGTGGGCCGGGCATGAAGCCACGCCCAGCTGGCCCATTAAGACCTGGCGGACCGGCCATCATGCCTAGAGGGGGGGGAGGTCTGCCAAACCCGGTAAAACCAGGCGGGCCGAAGATGTTTGGGTCGGGCAGGCGATTTCCCAGGCCCGGCGGCGGATTGAAGCCGGGTGGAGGCATGCTCATAGGCATGCCAAAAGGGCCAGGCTGCATCGGACCTTTCATGTTCGAAGGTGATATGGAATTAGGATGGGGTAGCGAGCTTGTGGTCGCCACGCTCGTCTTCCTTGAACCGATCGGCCCAGGGCTCATGTGGCCGGGTGTCGCAGGGTGTGGCGATGAGTTTTGGCTGGCAGTAGAGCCTGACCGCGAAGCTTGGGATTCAGGCAAGCTAGTGTCCAGGGGCTGCGAGGCATGCTTGGGGCGGATTGGTGTTGGAGCTTTGGGGAGAGCCGGCGTTGCAACGGGTATCTTGGGGGACGCATAGGATGCTGGGTTGGACGGATGTGTCGGAATCGGTACTGGGTGTTGCGATAGTCGTCGGCCTGAGGTGGGAATCGGAATAGGAGCAGCAGCAACCGTGGCAGCTTTTTGGGCAGCCTTTTCCTCCTGCTTGATGCGATCCTTGCTTTCCTTCTCAGCCTTAGCCTTGGTCTCCTTGTCGCGCTTGGCCTGTTCCTGCTTCTCTTTGCGCTCACGGAGCTCCTTGTCCTTCTGGTCTCGAGTTTCCTTTTCGCGTAATCGTGCTTCTTCCTTGAGCCTTTGGGTCTTCTCGCGGGATTCGCGCGCTTTGCGTTCTTGCTCCGCGCGCTTCTCTTGCTGTTCCTGGAGTCGACGTTGCCGATCGGTCTCTTTGCGGAGGCGTTCTTCTTCTTCGAGTCGCTTCTGCTCTTCCTTCTTTCGACGTTTCTCCTCCGCTCTCAATCTCTGCTCTTCCACCTTTCGCCGCTGCTCCTCGAGTCGAGCGGCCTCCTCTGCAGCCTTCTCGGCCTCCTTCCGCGCCTTCTCCTCGGCCTGTTGCTGCTTCTTGAGCGCGGCCTTGTCCTTGCGCTTCTGGTTCTCTTTGGCCTTCTTGGCTTTCTTCTGAGCGGTTTGCCTATTTTCCTCCTCGAGTTCCTCGATGAGCTGTTGCTGGCGTTGCTTGGCGACCATGTCTCGATAGGCTGTCAGGACCCGTTGCTCAAACATTCGAGCGGCGAATATTTGGAACATGCGACGACCCTCTTCCATGCGCTGTTCCTCGGTCATCGTATCCTGATGATGACAACAGTAATGCTCAGTACTCGAGTGTTTATGGTCATATGTGTATTGAGAGGAGCTCACTTCTTCATCCTCGTATTCCTCTTCTTGACTGTCATCATAGTCCTCATCCTCCTCCTCGTCTTCGTCGTCATAGTCGTCTTCGGGAGGAGGATGGTTATGATTCGAGTAAGAGCCGTTGGCGGGATGAGCGTAGCCGCGAGAAAAGTGCTCCTTGGCGTCCTCTTCTCGGGCCATGCGGCGCTCGGCGAGCTGCTCCATCATTTCGATGAAGCGCTTGCCGTCGTTTTTGAGGAGGTCATCCGCAACGGTGAGTATGCCGCCTAAGTCCATGTTACCATATCTGCAGAGTAGGGAGTCCAGAAGCTGCATACCCTTGACTTGCAGGCTGTTCCCAAACGTCAAGAAGTCGGCAACGTCTCGATCGTGAGGGTGAGTATCTTCGGGGGGTTCGTCTTCGTCGCTGTATTCGTCGTCTTCTTCGTCTTCCTCTTCTTCCTCCTCCTCCTCCTCCTCCTCAAGGTCCTCGTCCTCGTCGCTGTACTCCTCCTCTGGCTCCTCCTCGTCGTCATCGTCGCCCACATGTTCCACTATACGGCCGCGTGACGGTGGTTGGCCTGTGTAGGATGACGGGATGCGTGAAGGTCGCAAGGGGAATTCGCGGTGAGGTGGCAGAATATGCGGTCCTTCACCGTTGTTCGCAAAGGTCTCGAGCTCCTCATAGTAAGCGTCGTACAGGCCTTCGAGTTCCTCCTCAATGGCGGTGCGCTTCCTGCCGCAAACGGTACAGCTGCATGTATGCTTTTGCTGCTCCTTCATTTTTTTCAGGACGGCGTCCTTTTCGACCTTGACTAGCGACTTGCGCTCATCTTCGCCGAGACCTAACCAAAACTCCTTGATGCGTTCCCGCTCCTCCTGCGAGCTGGTGTTCCAAATCTTATCCTTGGAGATACCAGGACCACGGGGCGTCAATGGTGAGTGAGAGTGAGAATGAGGAAACGGAACGCTGTCGTACTGATTGTTGGCCAGCTGCGGGTTCTTTCCGTTCTTCTTCTTCTTCTTTTTGGACTTTTTGGACTTGGTCGCGGAGAAGCCGTTGGCATGGGGCCGGTCGTCGGTAGAGTGATGGTCTTCGGGCTCGTCGTCGCTGGACTCCTGATCCTCGTCATCTTGGGCAACCTGAGGTTTGGACGCGGGCGCGCCAGGAGCAGGACTCGGGCGTCGTCCATTTGGTGGTTGGACGGCGGCTTGCTCGGCAGCAGCTTTGGCGGCAGCCTTTGCCCGACGCTTCTGCTTCTTGCGATTCACAGTAGGCGCTGAGGGGTCAGCACCGTTGGTGTCGACGATCTGGACGCTGGGCGCCTTTGCCGACGAGGTCGGAGTAGAGGGTTGCGAGGGTTCGGCGGAGGGGGGGCCTTTCGGGACGGTGATGATCTTGGAGCCATCCTTGTTTGTGTATCTCGCGGTGGACTTTGTATTGGGTGACGCTGGCGTCTGAGCTGCCGGCTGGCGATGGTTGGCCGGCATTTCTAGTCTCTGCTACGAAGCAAGCGACGTCGATGTCATAGAGAGGGATAGACGAAGGGTGGTTTGCGGTTGTGGTTGCGGTGGGGGAGTAAGCGCTGGATTCGGGTTCGGCGAGAGGGAGAGAGCGAGAGAGTTGAAGACAAGCTCGAATTCGGCGGTCGGTCGGGTTCGAGAATGAGGCGATACTGGGTGAGGTAAAGCTATGTGGAAAGATGCGTAAGCAAAAATAAAACCACAGCTGCCCCTCTTCGCAATGACGCTCGAGGTGTTCGGGGAGATTGTGTGTGATTGAAGTTGGGTGGGCGTTTGTGGGTAGCGGCTCGCGAAAGTGGCAGGCGGGATGTAGCGCGCTGGGCGGGCTTTGGGCGGGCTGAGGGTGGTGGTGATGAGGCAGGACTCACAGGTGGAGGCGAATATTATTCGAGATGGGGCGCCGGGGCAGCCACACTTGTGTCTTGCCAAGGGAACAAACAGTCCGCCGTAAAGGTGCAGCACGGAAAGCCGAAATGGTAAAGGGTATAACTTTTGTTGTTGTTTTTTTTCGCCTTGTTTCTTCTATCAATATTCTTCCTCTTTTTGCCCTTGGGAACACCACCTTGC